AACACATAGATGTAATCCTCCATCTTTTTTCTCATGGAAGAGAACTGGGGCAGCCACATGTGTCCTTCTGGGTGTAATAAGCCCCCTTTCCAAGTTTTTGTCTATATATACCCCCATTTCCTCCATTTTGGTGGGAGTCACTGAGTATATTCTCAGTTTGGGCAACTTTGCTCCAAGAACCAACTCAACAGCACAGTCCGTTTTTGGTGTGGAGGTAATGAATTTGAGTGATCTAACCCACCATCACTCAAAACAAGGCACGCACGCCCCTAACTACCTCAATTCCAACTGCAACTGGCCTTAAATGCAAGCTACTCAATGCAAGAAGCCTTGTGAATAAAATACCCGAATTTCTCCTCTTACTAAATATGGCTAAATTCGACATTATATACATCTATGAAACATGGCTCAATGCATCTCTCCCTGAATCCATTACCTCAGTAAGAGACTATCATGTTTACCCATCTGATCATGAAATCCATAGAGGAGGTGGTGTTGCTGTCTTGTATAAAAAAATCCTTACATCTAAAAAATATCCAAGTTACCCAAGAGCTTGCTCTTCCTGAGACCATAATCTTTGAACTGTCCTTAAATATCACATTTCGATTCTTACAGAGCCCCTGATTATGACATTGAACATGTAAACAAGCTAAATTCACTACTAATATGGGCAACAGCCTGCCCACACAATAACCAACAATACTAGATTTAACAACTGCCTCAATCTCATCTTCTGCAATAGTTTGAATTCAATTTATGGAATACAAATTGACGAAACCTTTTCCAACAGTGACCACAGCATAATCGACTTTTGTCTAAACATATGTCCACACAAAAATCAACACAATGATGTGATCCCCAATTATAACTTCAAAAAAGGTAACTATGATCTTATAGACAACGATCTCTCATCCCTTGATCGGCAATTTCTATTCAATGGATACAATATTGCTGAAGACCATTACAATATATTTTTACTTGAATTCAAAAGAGTCATCAACTATATGTACCAATAACAACTCCAAAAACCAGAAAAAAACAGATTACCCATAACAATAAGGAAGCTCAATCCCAAAAGAGATCACTTTGGCGGAAAAACAAATCTGGCCACGTTGCCAACTTCAAAAGCTGTTACAAAAATTTATGCCACCAGATAAAGACTGAATGCACCAATTATCACATTAAACAAGAGGAAAACCTTCTATGCACCAATTCCATCCCATCCCTGAAAGGACCTAATGATAAAGACTGCAATGATGACACCATTAAAGCATTCTTTAAAACATTCTTTAAAACATTCTTTGGCTCAGTATTTGTAAACAGCAATGCATCATGCCCAGTATTTCCTAGTCGAACTACAGACAACTATAATGATCTAGTACATATTGATTTTACAGAAGACAATGTTGAAAAAGCAGTATGCAATCTAAAACCGTCTCTATCTATTGGACCGGATGGAATATGTGCCTACTTCTTAAAAATGCTATCCATTGCCATAGCCAAACCTCTAAGCATAATCTTTGAAAAATCTTTCAGGACCAGATCCTTGCAAAAACTATGGTCACAAGCCACGGTCATCCCCATCTTCAAAAAGAGAGACCCCAGCCTAGTTGAAAATTACAGACCAATCTCTTTATGTTGCATCACCTGTAAAGTCATGGAATCAATTATTAACCAATCCATTATCCTCCACTTAGAGACAAACAACCTAATAAACAAATTGGTTTCAGAAAAAAACTATCCTGCAATCTGCAACTCTTACAGTGCAAAAACATATGGACTACACAACTCGATCAGGGCAAAGCAATGGACACAATGTACATAGACTTCTGTAAAGCCTTTGATTCAGTGGTACATGACAAATTATTCCTAAAACTGAAATCTTATGGTATCTCTGGACACCTGCATAACTGGGTAGATGTATTCCTGTCAAACATACAACAAATGGTGTAAATTGGGAGTGTCCTATCAAATTCTGTACCTGTCAACAGTGGTATACCCCAAGGCAGTGTTTCGGGACCAACTCTCTTCATACTCTACATAAATGACCTCTGTGATCATATTAAGAGCAACTGCATTCCCTTCACTGATGTAAAGCTATTCAACACTACAGACAATACTGCTACCCTTCAAAAAGACCTCGAATGTGTATCAGAATGGTCAAACAAATGGCAACTTCAAATCTCAACAAATAAATGCTCTGTCCTACATATTGGCCAAAAAAATCGGAAAATAAAATACAGGCTGAACAGTCAAGTCCTTGTTGATGATCCAAAGTCTGCCAAGGATCTTGGAATACTCATCTCTAATAATCTAAGTGCTAGAGCCCTCTGTAACTACCTAGCCAAAAAGGCATTAAGAGTTGTTAACCTAATCCTACGTAGCTTTTTCTCTGTTAATATTACACTACTAACTAGACCATACAAAACATTTGCTAGACCAATACTGAAATACAGCTCCTCAGTCCGGAACTCACATTACGTATCTGATATTAACACAGTTGAGAAAGTCCAGAAATATTTCACAAGAAGTATATTCATTGCAGAATACCCTATTTCACCAGACTTGAAATTCTAGACCTAGAAAACCTAGAACTATGCTACCTTCAGTCCGATCTAAGTATAGTATATAAAATCATACATTACAATGACTTACCTGTCAAGGAATACTTCAGCTTCAACCATAACAATTCAAGAGCACACAAAAATACAAACTCAAGGTAAACCACACCAAACTTGATTGCAGGAAATACGACTTCCGCAACAGAGTGGTCAATGTCTGGAATACTCTACCTGACTCTGTGTTTTCTTCCCCAAACCCCAAAAACTTTAACCTTAGACTGTCTACTATTGAGCTCACCCCTTTCCTAAGAGGTCTCTAGGGGGTGTGCATATGCGCACCAATGTGCCTACCATCCCTGTCCTATTGTTTCTTTTTATTTTTCTTATATGTATCCATGTATTCATAACTATGTTTTTATTTATACCTATTATCTTGTAAGTAATTGCCAAACCAAATAAAATAAAAAAATAAATGAATCAGCCCCTTTTTTTGTTAAAAACGTCTCCCAAATCCTCATATTCAATAGGATATGCCTATTTTCCTGAAAACAGTCCTTTTTCTTCAGTGATGTTATTAAATGAAGTAGACTCTTGCCATGTCATATTTAACAGATTTGGTCCAATTGCTAAACATAATTTATGATACCCTCCTTTCCATGTTATAGTTGGCTCTCACTTATCTAGCCAAGCCAACTCTAAAATTAAAGCTTCCGTCTTGTGGGACACCACTATGAATGATATCCACTCCCAATGCTCTCCAATCACCAGTTTAACATATTCTGTTCTATGAGTGGCTGAAACTCCTCCCAATATGGAGCAATCCACTTGTTCAAAGTTAATTTGGTTGTTCAAAGGAATTACCCTCAACAAAAGCTTATTTACCACTGCTTTTGTTATTAGACAGAGTGTACAGCCTGAATCAATTAAAGTCCTAATTTCACCCTTTGACTCATACATGTATTCCACACCATAATTGGAATTATAAATGGGCATATGGGATTACTTACCATTGGATCTTCTATCCAAGTATCATCTGGTCCACCATCTGTTTAGAATGAAGGTTCTATTGATCTATCTGATTCAATACTGCTTTGCAACTGGGTCACTCATCTCGAATCTTCATGGGATTTCCAAACCCGGGGTCTAGTACTACCCCTGCCTATGAATGTTCTTGCTTGTGGCATTTGTGGCATGGACACTGGTGGTATGTGACAATTCAATGCCCTGTGCCCAGGCATGTTACAACAAAAACATCTGAAACCCCCTCGTCCACTTTGGCCTGGCAGAGACGAAGAGCCCCTCACTCTCTTTTGATGTAAGGGTTGATGTAAGAGACCAGTAGTCTTCCTCATTCCTACGGTCACATCCCTTTTAAGATGTAATCTTCTTAATCCTAATCAAGTTTGATGGCTAGTTGATACCAATCCTTTAATGTTTTCACCAAACCCCGAGATAAAAATGCCTGCCCCAAGTCATGGTCCAATCCCTCTTTAAACAAATGTATCAGCAACCTCTCAGGCCATGCAGGTAGTTTACCAGCAATCCTTTGAAAGTCTTGTATATAATCATTGTTGTTCATCCTTTCTGCTTAATAGTTAAGATTTCTTCCTCTACTTGTTGTTCACTGGTTCTGTCTTCAAACCTTTCCCGCAAAGCACGAGAAAGAGTCCAACCTCACCAAGTTCAGCAAATATTACTGATGTAAGTCAGCTGCCCATTCATTTGCCTCACAAACTAATACACTTGTTATTGCAACCATAATGGCCCAATGAGATGGGTAATAGTCTCCATACAAGTCTAGATGATTTATTAGTTGTCCCAGAAAAACAGTCACTCTATCCACACAACCATCAAAAGATGCGGTTAAGGGGAGAGGTCCCCACCCACCCTGAGCTGGCACCCCCCTGATGAGCCATAGGACTTCTAATAGTGCATTCTGGCATTACTAATCCAGGGAAGTCTGACCTCTCTCTGCAGAGTGCCCTGGAGTCCAATCATATGTGTCAGATAATTTAGGACCCCCAGGTTCCCTATAACAATTCTCCACTCAAGTAGCATTAGCACTTTTCCCTATATCTGACCTCCTCGACTTTAACTCAGAACATTCCAGTCCTCTGGCAAATTCCATGTCTGGAAACCCCATAGGGCTACAACTGTATAGAGGATCATGAACTGATATATAACTGGGTCTATATCCCAACTCCTCTTTGGGAAGTAACGTTTCTCCAAAATAACATCCCCAAATTGCCTTCTCAATATTTCCAGGGTTTCATTACTTGGGGCTGTCCATTGACTCTCTTCAAGGTCAGGTCACCTTTGCACCTTCCATTCTTGGGCCTGTATCTTTTGTTGTCTCTGCAATCCCCAGTTCTCTTTCCTGAGTCCTTTTTTCCCAAAGGGCTCACTTAGCCTAACCTCTTTCCTTTTTGGCTTCACTACAGGCTGGGAGGCATTACTCCTCCTCCTTCTTCCCTGCATTGCTTGCCACATTCCACCATTTCTTTCTGCTTTAGTTTAATCACAGCCTGGGACCCACTGGAGATTGACTCCTCTTCTTCTTCCTTTTCCTGCTGTTGCTTATCATCTTCCACCACCACTTCTGCCACCTCAGCTTCCTCCCCTTCCGTATTCCATCCAGGGTCTCTGCCTTCTGCCATTTCTTCCACTAATACAATACTTCCAAAGATCAAAAACAAAAGAATATGAGCACTAGTTTTTATGTCAGCCTCGCTTGGTACTTGAGGATTTGAACTGAAAAACCATAGTACTCACAATTATAGGTTGTGGTAACAAAGATTTATTTCATCCGTCAACTTCAAAATAGTCCCAAAAGGCAACACTGGATCAATTCCAAGTAAAGCTAGCACTTAAAGCTACTGCCTTTCAGCACTTATTATAGCTGCCTGTCAACCCCTCCCTTTTAACTGATATCCTGCCATCTCCACCCGCACCTCCCCCCCACACCTACTTATGCTTAACCTAAACAAATCCATCTCCTATCCCTCCCAACATTCTGAAAGCACAATCAGAAATGTTACTGCCCCAACATTGCAGGTGGGCAGATAGGTCCAATGCCATTGATCATCTCCACATATCACCATTTGTCCCTGTGTGCAGAACAGTTGATGGCTGTCAAAATAAGAACCTCTAAACAACTGAGAGTTCTCTATGGCAGTTCCACACAGCTGCAACATACCCCGTGATCAGCATTGCCTCCATTAGCATTTTCCCAGCTGGTGCAGTGGCACCGATCCAAGATTGAGGAGGTAGGTGGCTAGCGAGCATCGGGGCGAGATGTCTAAGCGTTGGACTTTCACCATGAGCCCAATAGGAGAGCTCAAAACTAAACAAGAATGAGTAACCAAGAGGTCAACATGACATGGTATTGGCAAGTGCAGATACATTCTAGATATGAGAAAGATGCCAAATCATATGGTTTTTATAATGAATTAACAGATTTAGATGAGATATTAACAGGGACAGAAGAAAGATTGATAAAGAAATTGTGCAGCTTATCTATTGGGCATCAAACTGGAAGAGGAACAAGTGAAGGAGACAATGTAGCATGGGTAAGAAAATCAGGTTACATAATAGAATTTGATAAATGGCAGAAACGGTGGGATAGGAACTATAAACTAACATTGTTACAGAGATATCTGTAACCAGATGACACACTATTTAATGGAAGATGGAATGTTTATATTAAAAAATAAATAAGATTAATAATAATAAAAAAGAATGGCTTATGTTCAGAAGGAAATTGCTGAATTTTGGTGCCATAAATATCAAATGAAAAAGTTATCAATAGAAATATTCTCTCCCTACAAATCTCAGTGTTAGTTACATCCTTATAAATTAAGCCATAGTTATAGATATTACATAGATGTAGTTATAAATATTTAGATGTGGTTTGTTAAAATTGGAAATAATTGGCCTCTCTTTCAAGTTTATGTGGATGCTGAAATTTCACTTCACCTAAAATAAACCTAAGTGTCTGATTTAAGATGCTTCTTTCTGGAGCCTTTGTCATGAGAGGAAAACATTTCAAGCATCATGTGATTTAGTAGCACAGTCCAGATTTTGACAACAGATGAATGATGCACTCACACAGATCCCTCCTGAACTGCCCGAGAAGGATGTTGACTGAAATCAATGGGATCTGAAAATGTTAACAATTCAGAAATAATGCCAGCAAGGTTGATATCTCCAAGCTGATGATAGGTGTGCTGAATAGGAAGAGGCTCCTGAAAGTCACATTGAAGGCTAGGATTCTTGCACACCACTTCAGGCAATACTATTAACAGCAACCCCATGAATATGAATATCTTCCACAAGTGTCTTCTTTCTGTGTGCAAATGCCTCTGTCTGCCAGAAGATCTTTGAGATAGATCAGACTGTCCTGCCTTCTTGAGATGTCTTTCAAAAACAAACAGTAGGTACATCATGCTATCAAATGAACTCACAGAGCTTAGGGTCTCCCAGCCATGGGATGGAATATTATGGGAACAATAAATAGCATCCTTCAGAGTCTGTTCCTCCTTTTTCCATGGGATCCCATAGGATTTGGAGGAGAAACACTGGCTAATTTCATAATGATAGTGAGACAGTTACATGTGTGAAAATCATCAATATATGCAAAGGCCTCCTGGGGCAGGAAGACAGGAGTCAGAAGACAACAATAAAACCATTATATCCCTAAATGAAAATACATAGGTAAATGTAGGCATTGTTATATAGATACATTCTATTCTATTCTATTCTATTCTATTCTATTCTATTCTATTCTATTCTATTCTATTCTATTCTATTCTATTCTATTCTATTCTTACTCCATTCCACCCCACCCCACCTCTCCTCTCCTGTATAATTCTCTCATCTGGAGTATTTTTTCTAGTCTTATCTAATCTTCTTGTCTACTACACTATGCTACACTGCTCTCTACTCTCCATTGTTTTGCTTTCCATTGCATTTTTTTCCATCCATTCTGCCAGAAATGTGGATGCTTATTGCACTACTGGGTTTTCATGTGGTTGAATTCTACTTTTGTGGATTGGTATATGTGATGCAATAGGATGGGACTTTACAAAGTTTGATATGGGAAACAGACAAATGGCAGCATGACAAGCATATAACAGAGTTGGGATTGGTTTACTAGCTATAGAAAAGAGGAAAAACCTCAGCTTTAACCATATTTTTAATTTAAAAAATAAATAAATTGCAGTTTTATTAAATTCTTTTAGAAGCTGGAATAGGGTGAGTCAGTTCTTTACTAATCAACCATTGGGTGGCAAACAAAGTTAATAAACAAACAAAACAAATATTTATTTTTTCCAATTCTGCTTCTTTGTTTTGTTTTAACTAAACAATAACAGAGAGGATGCTAAACAACTAGAATTCATTGCAGCCTTGGAAGTAGCATTTAAAACCATAGGACTTCCCACAGAGACAGGAGAAAGCATCGGATAAACTACCATATGACAAAAGAATAGAATAGAATAAAGTAAAAACTTTATTGCTTTTTTGAATGTATACTAATTGCTACAAACAGCTCTCAAAGGGTCACCACCTTCAGTATAGACTACATAAACATGATATAATAAATAAATAAATAAATAAATATACAAATTTATGTGCACATCCACATATATTATATGGCACAGAAAACTACACAGTTAGGTTTGGATGTATGCATGTACCAATTGTACTAAAATTAGTATTTTCATTAGTTGAAACCATCCGTAAAATCTATGGTATTTCTTCATTTAGAAACGAATTTTCCTGCACATTTACTGGAATTGCAAATGTTCTTAAGGCATGAAACAGATATTAACAGATAATCAGAGTTGGAAGGGATCTTGTAGGTCATCTAGTCCAACCCCCTGCCCAACGGGAGACTGTACACCATTTCTGACAAGTGGCAGTCCAATCTCTTCTTGAAAGCCTCAAGTGATGGTGCTCCCACAACTTCTGAGGGCAAGGTGTTTCATTGGTTGATTGTTCTCACTGTTAGAAAGTTTCTCCTTATTTCCAGGTTAAATCTCTGGATTTAAATCTCACTTCTCCTGAGTTTTTTTTTTTTTAATGCTGATACTTTGTTGGAACTTGACTTTCTTAAAGGGGAATGGTTATTTTAAGATTTTTACACTGCTGTTGGAAGGAAATACTCCCCTGTTGGAGTTTTTCCAGCTGGGATGCAATGATCAACACTTTGAAGAAATAATTGAACAATGAAGCAGAGCTGCTGGAAAGAAGCTTTCAATGACAAGGAACCAAGATGAGTGACATTCAGCAAGGCTTCTTAACTAACTAGAAAGATTGACATTCAAATGTGAGTTTACATACCTGTTCTGAGTTTTGATCTAAAACTAGTTTTTGGTGAAATTTAATTCTGTGCTTGGCAATGTTTAATCCTGTGTTTACCAATAGAATAATTTTCCCTATTCAGGAAGGAAAGGGGTTAATCTCTGTTCCTGAAAAGAAACTGGGTTGAGAAATCTGGCTAGTTCCTGTGTCCTGGTAATTGGTTTAACCAGCTACTGTTGTGATTTAATTATTTGCATTGTGTTTGACTTTTTTCCTGCCTCATGGCTTCTTTTTCTATCCAAGGAGGGGGTCTTCCTTCACTGCTTTAGTTGTTCCTGGCTCTGTCCTTTTGGAGTGTACTTTCAAGAGGCAGGATGTAAGCTTGCACTGATTTTTATTGCCTTTCTGGGGGGCATGTGATCTTAAACCTGGATGATTTCCTCAGGATATCTTGTGAGGTGTGTGAAAGCAGCTGATATCTTTAAGTCATGCAAATGGATCTAAAGATTGCTTCTCCTGAGTGTGCTCTTTCTGGAGAGCTTAAATGACCTCTCTACTAAAGGATTTCACTTTATGAGAAAGAGTCACTGCTGCTAGTTATTATTGCACTATTTTAATTCCTCAAGGTGCTCTGGCTCCCTGCCTGATTTGTAACTCCAGCTTGCAAGTATTTTTAATCTAACGATTGGCATTTAGGGCAGCTTTTTGCAAGCAAAGAAACTTTTTGTATTTTTGTACAGGTAATCCTTGATTTGCAGCAGTTCTTTTAGTGACCATTCAAAGTTATAATGGCACTGAAAAAAGTGACTTATGACCATTTTTTCAAATTTACAACTGTTCCAGCATCCCCAAAGTCACAAGAGGCCAGGTGAGGAGAAGCTCCCCTAGACGTGAGTGATGGCAAGATGGCCAAGCCCACCCAGTCACATGCCCACCAAGCCATGCCTACCCAATGAGTCATTAGGGTAGAGAACCAGTTGTTAAATTATTTGAAACTCACCACTGGTCCCTGTTTATAATTTCCTTCCAGAAGGAAAAAAAATGTTCTGATCTATATTAAATTTCAGAGATAGGGCATTATAGAAGGCCAATTGTACTGCACATTGTTCTCTGGCTTAAGTGTGCTACTGGGAAAGATCTCCAAAGGATATTAGGCAAAGGGAAAGATTTGTTAAAAATTTCTCTTCATGATCTGATGTTTATCATTCAGTTCAGGTCTCATCACAATGATAAAAAACTTAGGAAGGAAGATACACCAATAGATACACCAAGATATACCAATAGTCCAGCACTGGAGGAGATCATGGAGAAGATCTCCACAGCAAATATATATTTTCCCCTTCTGCTTAGATAGGTTGGGATAAAACACAGCCAAAGACTGCAGAAGACCAACATGCTGAAGGTGATGAATTTGGCTTCATTGAAACTGTCAGGTAACTTCCTAGCTAGAAAAGCAGCAGAGAAGCTAATAAGAGCAAGAAAACCCATAAAGCCCAAAACACAGTAGAACATGACCGAGTCTTCATTGCATTCCAGGATGAGTTCTTCAGGTATTGACTGTGCATCAAAATGTGGGTACAGTGGGAAGTTATTAGCCACGCAGCACAAACACACATTTGAATAAGGGAGCAGGCTAGAAGAATGAAACTGACCATTCTTCCCCCCACCCATTTCCTCAATCTGGAACCAGGTTTGGTGGCCATGAAAACTAGAACCACAACAAAGGTTTTGGCCAAGACACAAGAAACCGCCACTGAAAAGATGAGTCCAAAAGCTGGCTGTCGAAGGAAACACACAATTTTATCGGGTCTCCCAAGAAATAGGAAGACACAAAGGAAAGAGAGGAGGAGGGAAACTAGGAGAATGTAGGTGAGATTCCGATTGTTGGCTTTGACGATGGGAGTATCTTTGTGTTTCATGAAGATTGTGATGACCAAAGTTGTCTTCAAAGAAAAGCAAAGAGAAAGAATGGTCAGACTGATCCCCAGGGGTTCTTCATAGGACAAAATTGTGATCCGCTTTGGAATGCACATATTTTTGTCAGGGTTTGGATATTGGTTTTCCAGACATGGAGAGCAGTCATTCACCTCTGAAAAAGTAGACATTGATTGGAATTGATACAGTGGATTATTGACAGTGTTGTACCATCATGGCTTAGTCCCATTATAATGTATTTGGAAATTTCCTACCCTTCTTTTTTTGATATTTTCCCATCTGGACATAGACGGCAAACATAGCAGCAAAATGATTTCCCTTATAACTTTTCCTTGCTGTATCTTCTCTCACAAGGATCATTACACAGAGATAAAGGCAATGCCTATCAATGTATGAAGAATATTTTAAAATACAAAGGGAAGAAAAAGGAAGTGTTTGAAGATATATTGTTACTGTGGAATCAACTGCATACAAATGCATTGATAAGGAGAAGCCATGTGATTACATTGTTTTGTTATTTAATTGAACTGAAATAATAATTCATTCAATATCTATAATTATTGTTGTCAATGGCTTTCTATATCCATGAACCACAGTCTCTAAAGATAATTTTTGTGCTGGTCAAAGATGTTTTTCTCAATTTCGTTTTTTTTTAAAGCAAATTTTATTGATTTTAACAACAAACAAACAAAACAAAACATCATTAAACATTAAAAACATAAAACCTCTTTCCATTATAAATCTTTACAAGGCAGGTAACACATTATTTTATATCACATTCTTCTAATTTATCCCATTTCCATATAGACATGTAAATTCCCTTTAACAAATTTCACATTATTTCTCTTTACTCTTATTCAATCACATTTCTTTTCTAGTTTATCTGCTATTCAATCATCACATTTATATTTTCCTCTGGCTTGTTTACAGTTGTTCTCATCTGGCCTTCCTCTGAGATTTTATTAATTCTCAATTAAACACACACACATAAAGCACAAAAAACATAAAACTTCCTTTTAGAAAGTAACTTGGCCCCAGATTACCTCTTTTTGTATGGACTCAATTAAATTCATGC